TTTTTTAATGACAAAAGTTGAAAACTCAAAACTTTAAAATTGAAATTGTAAAAGTAAGTTTTTCCCGATTTATCCCCGTTTTTGAAAAACATTTTGCGTTTTTCATTGTAACTTGATGAATTTTCAAGCTTTTTCAAAATTAGAAAAAGGAAAATTTGGAAAACATCATGGCGCTTTCAATAAAGCTTTGAAATGTGAAATTGGTCAAGAATTGAATTTTGTACAAATTTTTGAAGTCAAGACGACTGGAAACGGGACCCTCCTGCAGGCCTCTCTGGGGCTCTGTGGGAGGGAGGTAAGGAGCAGGAAGGAAGGGAGGGCTGGTGAAAATTAAAAAAACTGCAAACCAAGGACGGCAAGTAACTTTATTATAGTAGATATACCCACTCCATGAGGGTTTTTTATAGAACGATTGTTATTCTATATTTTAAAAAACTATCACAGATTGATCATCCACGTGTAATTTTGGTTTGAACCACAATAATAGGAATTGACGTTATTAATGAACCAGAGCGAAGTTCAACTTTGATCCCTTAAAAATAATTGTATTAAAAATTTCAGAATATGCGAGTCAAATTAATTTGCACAGCAATACAACATGGTAAGCAGTAATTGTGCTATGGAATTGAAATTTTCTCCATAATCCAGCTCGAAGCTCCGTGTCATCGAAGCGTTGTGATGGTATTTGTTGTTGCTTGAGTTATCTGTTATGCCACGGTTATTCCTAATAAGATTAAGATATATTGAACAAAGTTGTTCAAATATAATCGAACCTTTATGGCCGCATTAGTGGTTATCGAACATCCGGTTCCCCCCAAAAAATACTTCGGTATATGGAGCATATATCGCTATATATACAAGGTTTTCTCATTACTTTGATCTAGTTTTGCATTGTCTTCAACTTGACACGTCGGAGTTCTCAAAACAAGGCTTCATCACTCACTCCAATTAATACTCAAGTAAGATGTCTGTCGCGGCATCCAATAAAATGCATTCTTTTGCTTGATAGGTTTAAATTATCACTGTTGAACCTCAGTAAAATCCTTCATTCAGTATATTAATTGTTTCAAATGAATTTTAATTAAAAGTTTCTATAACATATTATCAATCTACTGTACTTGGATTACTCATGGTAAACACTATTAATTAGCAAATTGAATTTTGGGTGCGATTATGCATGAAAAACCAAGCCTAAATAATAATAAAAATCTAACACCTTCAACTTTTTTCGATCATACGGACGCGCGTCCTTTAAATATGTAGATAGAATGTGAGAAATAAATATTGATAAATGCTCCCTTATGAATATGTTAAGACGATGAAATATTTTCATTCATGACGAGGTCGTGATGCCACTTCTCAAGACGATCAACATTTTTTTGGGGGAATAATTTCCCATGTTGATTATCGTTAAATTTTATGTGAAATGGGACAGTAAATACATGAATGTATATATGTATACTGGAAAGGAGGGGAAACGTCAAATTCAGCGATTAAAATGCAGAAATGGAAAGTAATCTGTAGGAGAACGGAATTGGCTTAAAATTTATATAAAGTGCGGGTGCTTCTTGACAATCTTGAACTACTTCCTGATAAAGCATACGAACCGACGAATCCTCTATTTACGTCGAAGTCGGCACAATTAATGGAATAATAATAATTAGACACAGTTATTCGAAGACACAATGTGGGTATCGTCGATAACTGTCTTGAAATGCTCGTGCTGCATGCATGCATATATATATTAAATCCAGAAAAAATATAAAAATTGCTAGCCAAGTATAGCATTGTCGTTTTGCAAGAATTTCTTTAAATTAAATCAATGAAAATGAATACATTCGCTTTATTCGATTATACATTTTCCTGTTCCAAATTATATTCCACAGCGAAGAAATCGTCATCATCATGAAGATGCTCGTCGTGTTCGCATTCGTGTGCCTCGTCGCACTGACCTCTGCCACCAAGCCTCAACCCACGGTCGAGGAGGCGATTGAGATGCTCGACACCTGGGCAGATTGCTTGACCTGTGTCGGCCTGGAATGTGCCCTGAGCTGTGGCTTCAGCTGTGCCAGTGGCAACATCATCGGCTGTGTCGACTGCGTCTACAACGACTGCTACGACTGCTGGATTCGTTGCGACGAACTCATCGGCATGCAGCAAAAGTTCTTGTGAATCAGCAGTTTCCAACAAAGTAAAAAATAAATAAAAGCTTCAATTCATCTCACTTGAAACCATCGGGACTCAATTTCAAATTTTTTCAAAGCATATGGAGTAAGTTCTGAGGGAATTCTGTATGCTACTTGTTTCGTTTTTGACGGATTTTCCTGCTAGATTGCCTTTGTTGAATCAATTTTTACGAAATGCAGTAGATAAAACCTCGTTTTCAAATACCATTTTCCTGTTTGCATCCCTTTATTTCTATGGATTACTGGCGCGTTTTCCTAAACTGTCACAAAATGAACTTGAATACTTTGATAGCTGACCTCATGATGATTTTAAAAAGTCAGAGTTCGGAACTATTTTTCGCACTACAGTATTAAGCAACTACTGAGACTCGAAGCTTTTATACTCATTCACCACATTATTACCTTTACGGAGACACAATTCAATAATAAGAAGTTTCTTTTACATTTTACGGCACATTTATATATCCCGTGTTTAGCAAAAAAAGATACTCTCTCATAATCTTCTGACCTGAATAAAGGAAATATTTATGCATTAACGGTTTGATCTAAAAAAAAAAAAGACGTGTATTCACGAATTTTAGCTTGTACAGTATATGCATCAAAAGTAATATTATCTAATTAAATTTACTCCCTGAAAAATTGTTGAGGGCCAGAAATTTTTTTATCGTTATAAAGCGAGATGAATATAGGACAATCGATAGGTAATTTTTAATTAGCGCGATATTTATGAACGGCCGATTGGAGATAAACATGTAGAGCAGCAATTTTTGGAAGCACTGTTTATTGGCCAAAAGTTTGTTCAAGGACTAAAAACAGGTCTAGGTTTTTGAGTCACGCGGAATACAAATAATTTAAAAATAAATAAAACGACTTTTTAATTTTGTCATCATCTGAATTTTAAATAAACTAATCGTTACACGTCATATGGATGACTTGAGATGTTGGACGGCAGAAAAGCTCAACTTGGAATATAATTGGAAAATTTCCACCAGCAGATCGCGAATCATTTTTCCACACGTGATGAATTTCAATACAGTATTAAGCATTCGTTTGAATAATTTAGAGAAACCCCGCATTTCTGCCGAATATTCGTTTAATCCTCAACACCGCGTCGTTTCGTGAAATTAGCCACAAATGGCACAGCAAATGCATTCGCCGAGGTCCATGCACCAGTCCGGGCAAGTGCGATCGTCGTCATGATAATCAACTTGTTGGTAGCACATCGGATCGCAAATTTCACATGTCGAACTGAGACAGGAAAAACACGCATCCCAGTTTCCGATTTCACAAGCTTGGAAACAGCTTTTGGTCGTGGGACAAAATTCATCGATGCAACCCAAGCATTTTGCTGCTGGCAAATTCACGTTTTTGCTTTCGGACGAGGCAAATATTGCGACTAAGATCAGCGTGGATGCGATGTAGATCTTCATGATTATCCTGATACAGTAATCCAAATTAATTTCATTGATTGAAGTACGGTAATTAATGGACCAACTTACGCGAATATCAACGCACAAGTGAAGGTCCGTTTCTGACACTAATTAATTTTTCCTTAATTCGACTCTCCCTGTAACGGATTGAACTGCGCAAATAATGAAAGATATACCAGATGCAATTTTCTGAGTCGAGTGGTGACTGGTGAGTAAGATTAGGACAATTTCGATAAGAAATATCCAAAAACCAGCCAGAAAGCGAATGTTTTTACGGTATATTTAGAGCTATCTTACATTGCTGTTATTGAACTCACGCAGAACTGAAAAAAAGTGAAGAACAAGCACAGCAGTAACTATATGTGATGGTATACATCGAAAGGCAATTCAAGAACCGACACAATATTCATGTTCAGGTATTTTTCACAAGCAGAACCAGCTGGCAATGAAATAATTGAGAATTATCAACTTTTTGCGTAAAACCGCGAAATGGATAGCACAACTTATTTATTTTCTTTATTCTCGGAATGAGCTTGGAAATAATACAGAGCAGAATGAGCAATTGCATTGGACACGATTATGTCTTTGGAAATCGTTGAAACCGGACGACAACACACGGTTCATGACGACCTTACAATAATGTTAGAGCTTTTTTTGTGAATAATATGAATTTTTAAATTCATTGCATGAATAAATGTCAATCAGTTTTCCTCTGTTGTACAACATTTACAGTACTTGTTGAAATTTGCATCGCACTTAATTTTTCAAGCTATACTAAGACATTAACTGGGCAAGGTAGAGAAACAAATTGAAAGAACATCATGGTTATTTAGGAGTCATGAGCTGGAAAGAGTCACACCTCAAATAATTTTCCCTTTCGATTTTATAGTTTGCGTTGGTGAAGACTTCATTAAAAAGATGCTGATGAGCATTGTTTACATACGGTACTATTCTACATGGAAGTTCTGTCGAGTGCAGTGATTCAAGTGTTGAAAGCCCCAAAATTTCCATGTACAGAAAAATTTGAAAACTCACATTCTTCCAATGCAATTGGGCATGCGAACCTTATGAATAATAAAGGATGAGCTATGAAGCTCACCATTGTGCTGCACTGTAGGGCAAGTGGGCAACTGGGCAAGTAAGATTTTTCAGAGTATTATTTATGGTGCGACATCTAGGAATAATATTTACAAATGAAACCCATACTTTTTAAAAATCAGGTACACGTCGCTCAGGTCATATTACTCGTTTAGTTATAGTTTGGTACATCACACATGACCTTGCCCGTGAACAATTCATTTGAAACTTCGAAAGTATGCACCCAGCATAGTCACATACATTCAAATGTAGACTATTTTTCGTGGCCAAAGGTGGTGAAAACTTGGCCAACCCAGAACTATCTTTCGATGTCACTTTTTCTCAAACATGAAGAATATGAAGTTGATCACCTCTGAAAATATATCGACATTTTGTTCTAACAGGGAGCACATAGGCATAAGATCATCTGACGACGGATTCTGAGGCAAATTTGTTTCTATCAGAGAGATCCTGGTTCGTTTGTGGGAATTTAAATCGATTATACGTGCAATCTATAAAGAGCCGGGGTTAAAATGTACACTTTAAGAGTACTGTATGCTTATATTTTCGCAGATATTCAAGAGACATTATGGACTATTTATTTACAATTTGACTGTGGAATGGGAATATGCATAGTCTCTATCGACTGCAGATGACGTACATCAATCCGTTTGCTAAATGTATTGTGTAAGATACACTTTCATATACAGTGATTGGAAGAAAGGTGGAACTTGAAAGAATCGACTGGATCGCGACGAAAGCAAAAGTACATGGATTTGTTGAATAGGCCTTTATTCGCACATTGCATTTGAGCTTATGCCGGAATATATAAGTCATGAAACTCATTTTTCTTTACTGAGATGAAATGCGAGCCAAGAACATATTAGATCCATCTGACTGAATAACTCCTTCATGATCCTTGCAAATGTAGCAGACGTCGCAACAAATGTCCTTAGTTTTGTTGAGTTCAGTCTTGCAATTGACGCAACCGAAACAACAAATGTCCTTGGATTCAGCAGAATCTTGAATTGGAGATGCGTTTGTGGATTCCAACATCATGGCGGTGAAGCAGACGAGAGCAAACAAGGCAATCAAAAATTTCATTCTGTAGAAATGAAGAAAAGTTATCAACATGCTTCTTTTTCATTGCAAGGAAAAAAATGCCAGATGAGCTGTAACCAAAAACAACAATTTCTCAAATTGAAATTTGACTCACTTGCTTGAGCGTTCAAGGATATTTATGATGAACGAAGAGTTTTGATTGGGATTAATTCACTTGATTGAGACTTGAACGACTCCTTCCTTTTCGAAGCTCAATAAGTTTTTGTGATGTTCCTTCCCGCACTGCCAGCTTTTTATTTCATTCCATCCATAAACGAAGAGTTTTGATTGGGATTAATTCACTTGATTGAGACTTGAACGACTCCTTCCTTTTCGAAGCTCAATAAGTTTTTGTGATGTTCGTTCCCGCACTGCCAGCTTTTTATTTCATTCCATCCATAATATGTTCCACCTTTCGAACGCGGAAACTTATTCTTGCCAAAATTAGTGAACTTTTATCGCACATATAACGCATGTGAACTTGTCACTAAGTCCCAGGTGTGAAGTGGTACCTGGATTTTGTTGTTTGAAGAAAAGAGATGTCAATAATGGTTTTCCGCGTACCTCTTTTATTCTGTGTCCAACCTTAGTTAGTTATTTTTGCGATTTCTTCGTGTATTGCATGGAAATTTGTACAGCGAAAGAAGAATATCGTTGGATTGATATCATTTTTATCCGCCCTTTTTCCTTAATATGCAGCATATATGTCGAATGAGTTTATGCCTTATTTCACTTTTGCGTTACAATTTTTTTTTGCCAAAATAAATACATTTTATGAGCAATAGACTTCGACTGAAGGGGAAGGACCACTGATGTTTGTGACTTTTGCATTTCAAATTGAAATAAAGGTATTGGGGAAGTGCTCACCTTTTTTAGTTCTTTAACCCTTGGTGTTTTCTTCACGCGGAATATTCATGGAGGCTCTAAGTTTCAGCCGAACATAAGAGTATAGAAAGGCAGGGCAATTGTTTATCATAGCAAGCCATGTACTGTATATCCTAAACCTACCTGAAGAAAAGGAGACAACGCCTAATATATTCTTAACCAGCAATTGAATACGATTACAGTAACCAATTGGTTTGGTGTGAAAAAGTTATTCCTGCGATTGAGCTGCTGGCCTTCAGTTATTATGGCAAACAAATTGAGAGGCTGTGCTCCTAGTTAATTTTTGAAGTTTTCTTTCAACTATTGTTCTTGCGTCAATAATAGGGGAAAATCGCCTTTGTTTTGTTTTCCAATCTTACTCTTTCAAATGCATTTCAAATGCCAAGGATTTTTTTGTTGGTCTAGGATAAGGAGTACTTCTTCAGTAAAGATTACGCAGATGAATTTAGTATTTTCATTTGAAAAATTTTCTCGTAGAAATGTTTACGAAATAAAATGTAGATGATTAGAACGCCTGAATTAAGAAGGCAAAAAATCAATCAGCGCACCTTTATTTGAGGCTACAATTGATTGAACGCCGATTGATAATTTTTGCTCCCTTACTGAAAGAATGTTTGAAATTCGCAGAAAAACTTGATAAGTTTCCATCCAAAGAAAGACCCATTATAAGCGGAAAACCCTTGAAACTACTTGGAACAAAAATATCCAGGAACAGTTTCACACGTGCTGGGGCCAAATTACTTACTCACGTCACAAGCATGGGTGCGATAAACTTTCACTAATTTCTGCAAGAAGTTTCCTCGTTCGAACTGTGAATCATGTAGGATTGAGTGAAATAAAAAGGAAGGCCGCAGTGTGAAAAGGAACATCACAACGACCAAGTCTCAATCAAGGAGTGACATAATCCAAGTCAAAACTTTTCAATTCTCATAAATACCTTCGAACGCACACAAACAAGTGAGTAAAAGTTCAATTTCCAGATTTTTTCGATTTTTGGGTGAAGCTCATCATTTGTTCTTTTTCTTAAAAAAAAGACGCGTATTGATATTTTCTGTATTTCTACAGGATGAAATCATTCATTGCCTTTTTTGCCCTCGTCTGCTTTGTCGTCGTCGTTTCGGATTTCACAGACGCATCTGAAATTCAAGATTCTGCTGAATCCAAGGATATTTGTTGTTTCGGTTGCGTCAATTGCAAGACTGAACTCAACGAAAATAAGGACATTTGTTGCGACGTCTGCTACATTTGCAAGAATCATGAAGGAGTTCATCAGTCTCATGACGTCGTCGTTTCGGATTTCACAGACGCATCTCCAATTCAAGATTCTGCTGAATCAAAGGATATTTGTTGTTTCGGTTGCGTCAATTGCAAGACTGAACTGAACGAAAATAAGGACATTTGTTGCGACATTTGCTACATTTGCAAGGATCATGAAGGAGTCCATCAGTCCAATGGATCTAAAATGTTCCTGACTCGCATTTCAGCTCAGTAACGGAAAATAAATCGCATACATTTCTTGTGTCCATTATTCTCTCAATTTTCGTCTACGAATAAAGGCATAATCTTTCCTTCAACTTCTTGTTCAATTTTGTAAGCACTGGCCTCAAAGCAATGATGAAAATGATGAAGTATGCTGTCAGCAATATCATTTATATAAAGATGCTAGAACTACAAAACACCTACAGCTCTCAACACAAAAGGCTGCTGTCCGTGTGCGTATGAAAGTCGGCATTTTTACAGGTTTAAAATCGTTCCCATATTTTGAGAAGTTTCAACGATTTCAGCAACACAAATACAGGTTGAAATATCAGAATTTCTGGCTATAATACAGGGGGTATAAAATAAAAGTGTTTGAAGGTGTATATAAGGTTTAAAATCGTTCCCATATTTTGAGAAGTTTCAACGATTTCAGCAACACAAATACAGGTTGAAATATCAGAATTTCTGGCTATAATACAGGGGGTATAAAATAAAAGTGTTTGAAGGTGTATATAGTAGTACAGTATTGCAATCACGTTTTTATTTGCTGGGTCTGCTGTCAGAAAGAGATTTCAGACAAGAAAGGAAACTTTTCCTTCAGATTGAAAAGAGGCAAGAATTACCAAATTCACTGAAGATTTATGAAGAGATGACAAACCAGCAAATAAAACAAGATAATCAGCCAGGCTGCGGCCGGGACAAAAGTCCTAGTATGAAATGTTATATTTGTCAAACATCACAAAAAAGAGTTGAGTTCAACAGATATGAAAATCAGCAATATTGATACCAAAGAGTCTTGCAAAAAACAATGCAAAGATTTGTTGGACTGTTGCAAGGTCTGAACTGGACTGTGTGTTCGATATAATTGTTCATCCTTTTTATACTGTTTTCCTACAAACAGAAAATCTGTCTCAATAAAGGATATCCTTGGAGCCCAAGGTTCTTAGCATGACAAATCTGAAGGACATTTTCAGACTTTGGGAGGAAGATTGTGGGAACTCAAGGTCATCTCTGGTCCCATGAGATTCCTTCAGGATTATCAGCCTTATGCCAATTCCAGCAAATCCTGTGTTTCTAAACAACTATATTTTCAACATCTGCCTCTGCCTAATATACATAAAGAAGAGGAAAATCTTTGTTGTTCACATTACATGGTCTTCTTTACATTCAATAACTTGCAAATTTAAAATTTGTCATTCAAGAGTGCAGGTATCAATTTCAAAGAAGTTCTTCAGTATATCGATTTTTCCACACTCTACTTCTGCAAATAAAACAGAACAAATAATCCCTCCTTAAAACAATGAGTGAGAGTCATTCTTCTCTGGGTATTTTTTCGGATTAAATACTGTGTATGCTATACTGGTTGCTGTTTATGGGAAGCTGTGAAATATTTAGGTATTTTCACCAGATTTAGGTTTGTCCCAAGTGATAATCATGTTACTAGGTTCTTTTGGAGTGGTATTTAACTCTTTGAGCAATGCTTTTTTCAAGTTTTGAATGTATGTGACTACGCTGGGAGCATAATTTCAAATGAATTGTTCAGGGCAAGGTCACTTATGATGTACCGAACTAAACGAGTAATTTGACCTGGGCAACTCGTACCTGACTTGTAAGAAGTATGGGTTTCATTTGTAAACAATATTCATAGATGTCGTACCATAATATTGTAAAAATACATACATTTACAGTGCAGTGCAGTGCAACGATCAATTTCATCACAGTTAACAGTACCTTATTTTTGTACATGCTTTATAATATCACATAGTTATAAAACAATAACTTCCAATAGTACTGTATGTACACAAATGGATATACTGTATCACAAAATAAACCAGCTCATAACAAACATGTGTGCAGGGGAATCAACAATAAGCCTAATCGTGGAAAATTGTATGAAGACGAAACAATGTTGGTTTCACTCTAACACAGGCAAACTTAAGATCACATAATCACAAAATAAACAAAATATCTGTCCAGGTCTATGGCCAGGGACAGTAAATACAAATAGTTCAATTGAAAAATAAATGATTTATAAATCAGCCAATCAGGTGAGCTTCTGATGGGAACAAACAAGCTGATGTCTTGGATCAGCATCTTTCTGACCAGATAGTTTATTACAGGTGGTGCTCTGGAATTTGATTTTAATCCATTTGTGATCAAGGATCACAAAATAAATAAATAAAAACAAAGGAAATCAAACTTTGGAGGCCAAGAACACATATTCAAGGGGTTCCCTTGAATGTATTTTCCTAATTTAAATACATTTTATTGAATGCTTTCAGAAGAGTCAAATAATATTAAGAATTCAATGAAATAAACACAATCAATACACACAGCATAATTGAATCACAAGATCAGACCAGAGCATAAATAAGAATCACAGATTTGAGCACAAATCAGGAAAAGTGAAGGAGAAGATTGTCCTTCAAGAGTTCAGGGCAGACTGCATATAAATTCTAATTAATTAGATCTTTCATTGGTTTTCGGGAATTGTCTGGTCATTTGAATTGACCAGACCTTTCCAGAAGATTCTTGTGTATTTTCTTGGCCTCTGCTTGGCCAAGATTAGAAAAAAAATCATCCAACCATGAAGGAGGACACCTTCATTGGTTTCCTTTCTTTTTTTTTCGCTGCGGCACCATTGCTGGACTAAGGTCATATTGTGAAGCAGCCAAATTGCAAGACAACGTCAAAGCAATTTTTTCAGCATCATATTTGACATGTTCTGTCTCAAAGGGATTTGAATTGCAAGGTAGAGGTCAAATTGCAAGTTGACCTCCCAGCAAATTTGACCATCAAATTGCAGGATGAAAAAATTGCGAGGTGGTCAAATTGCAAGGCACCATATGTACATGCAAATGTGTTTATGAAAACCACCTGATCATTTTTTTGGTTACAGCTGATCCTTCATTATTGAGATCCAAGGATGGAACTCTTATAGGAGTTCCATCCTTGGATCTCATCTTCAGTTCGTGATCACATAATTTTTATACGGTATACATTTCTAAATTTGTTTAAAATGATGACAGTCCCCTTATCTCTGTCAGTGTAGTTCCCGCAAAAATGGCCGGTATTTACAGGTTAATCTCTTCAACGCTAGATTTTCATGCAAAATATTGAGGAGAGAAAATTATTCTACATGAAATGCATGTGAACTTTTTTGTCGTTTCTGCGCATTCGAGAAGAATTTGTTTTTTTTCTGGGAAGTTATTTCCTTGATTCCCAGCGAAAACAAGGAAATTTTCAATCCAGAAAATGATTAGGGGGCGGAAAACCGTACTACAGCAGTACTCAAATAATTACGCGGTTTGAGTACATTTGTGCACCCGAAAAGAAATGTTATTGCAAGGAATGGATGCACAATGAACACTTGGGGCTTTTCTCAGGAAATTTCCGTTTTCAAAACAAGGAAAATGATTTCGAATCGCTTGCAATAAAAAGCTCGCACAACCGTGAAATAGCAGCATACAAACTTACGGTTTTCAGCAGTAACACTCCGCCAAGTGACTTGATTCAATTGAAATATTTTCCAGATTTTAAATATACCAGCTGCAAAAAGTAAGTCTCAATTTTCTTCTGACTTGTGCAATTTCTGCAAGTAAATTACTCTTGCGGCGCTTGATATCCCTTGAGTTATCAAGTCTGTGAATCATTTCCTACTTTTTCTAGAACATGAAATCCTTCATTATTGCTCTGTTCGGGAAGTAGACGAAACAGCAGTAACACAGACCTTGGTGCTCTCGTAGAGACTAAGTTCTAAGGCTTCGGTTCCTATAAACGACAAAGCCTACGCAGTTAACGTTCCGTCTTCACTTGCTTTTATTCCTCATCTGCTGCGACTTTTGCGTCATTTGCAAGGATTATGAGACCGTTCATTCAGATGGAGCTAAAATGTTCTTGGCTCGCATTTCCTTGGAGTGAAAAAAAAATCAGTTCGATGACATTCCAAGCAATTTTTCTTGGATATGCAAAATTGCGGTGTACAAATGAAGGTGAAGGTTTTCCTATTCAATGCATTTCAGTCACGTCATTATTCGCCAAAAGCTAATCCTTTCCAACATTTCCCATTCTATTTAAAATAATGTTATATATGTACACCACAACACAGGATCCGATTAGCTTCGCTCCTCAAAACGTGCGTACTGCGTGTCTTTTACCGTACGTGTAATTATGTGCTAATTATTCTTATGCCGAATTTCGTTAAAGAGTAATTTAATTATTTTCATTCCCGATATAAAGGTATGTAGATGCATTCCTTCAGCATCGGAAATGCATTTTCCA